CCAATCCTAGCCAATAACTCTAACCCTAATATTAGCTAAATTCTATCTTTTTTTTTATTTGTTTTGATAATCATATACGGCATGTGGTGTTGACACCACAGGTGTGCTTTAGTAAAGTTGTATATATATACTGTAAAATTAAAAACTTTTTATATACTTATAATAAAATTAATCTTAATAATTTTTAAATAATACGTATACGTATAATGTTTTTGGTTTTATTCAAAAAAATTAAATATTTTCCCTTAAGAAATAACGTACGTAAGTACTGTACGTACAACATTCGTAAGCTGCTACTTAACTTCAAATTTAGTTATATAAAAACAAATATTCGAGGCATATACATACGTATATACGTATACAAATAAACAATTCATAGAAAGCTTTGTTATACGTACGTAGCGATAGTATTAATATTCCAATTAGTCAACCAACGTTGATAACAAAAATGGCATTCCGTGCCTTTACCAAAATCCGATACTGGTGATCAGGTGCTTGGATTAGATATTAGATATGGATATGTATATGCGTAATATACAAAATCGATATATGTGATATAAAGAAAAATGAGGCGTTGTGCAGAACTCCTATTTGGTGTATGCCTAGTGCTTAGACTTAAGCATTAGTCTAACTAATAAGAATCAGGTAATGTAGTACGTATCATCGGCGGGGCAACATCTGAAATGGAAAATGTGTCCAAAACATCGATCTTATAAATGCCAATATAATTCAAATATTCATCCTTCAGGCCCACTATGTTAGGATGTGATACCAATCTCATTATTTGAAGCTCTCGGTTCTAAAATATAACATCGAACGAAAACAATTAATAATAATAGAATTTAACAGTTTTCAAAAACAATTGCATGTCATTGCACTATCCTTGTTAGTATGATAAACTGGAAAGTAGAATTTACCTTAAACCGTTTATCTTGAAGTACTTTTTTTATTGCGGTCTCGTCACCTGAATTAATTAGCTTTGCTTGAAATACTACACCGAAGGAACCATTTCCAATTACTTTGGTAACAGTGTAAGATAAATCAAACTCTTCTCCAGTTTTTCCATCACTAGCAACCACCTTGATCACTTTGTGTGGATCGTTTTCACCTAAATTAGAAAAAAAGGATGGTGCAGATGTAAAGAGTCAATTGTTTATCTACATTTTCAAGGCTCTCCTCTGAGCTACAGGAAGAGTTGAAGGAAAAGGATAATGTGATGCGGTGTTCAACACGACTAGGCCAAAGTGAGAAACCATTAGACCCTCTTTGACAACAGCAGTTGATGCTACTGCGCAAAGCACTCACACCAAAGAATAGAGCTAAATCACTCACCGACTTTAATTCCATTGACAGGCCCGTTCGGCATTGTTGTATTATGTTGTGCTTTTGCCTCTGCTA